CATACACACACAGGGCATATATACACATATATTTTTTTCATTTTTTAAATACATTATTCTGCTTAGTGTTTTTTTTTTTTTCAAAGGACTTCCCCCATGCTTCTTTCCTGTGCTTGGCTCAGCTGTTTATTCTTTATAATAGTATTTTTAAGTATTAACAAAACTATGAACTAATGCTGGCAAAAATGAGTGAAAAACTAACTATGTTGGAGAACTTTTACCACACTAGTATATGTGAACATCATTTTGTCTGAAACCAGATACAACTCTGTTATTTTTTACTGACATTAAGCTAAAATATGTTGTGATAGTGGCTAAACCCTGTTCCCAATATATGTAATATGCATTTATTCAAGGATTGATAAACCTGTAATTTAAAATTTTTTCATTGAAGTAAAAAAACAAAACATTTTCGACAACACAAACGGTTGGAGCTGTTTGAACAAAGCTCTAAGTCTGTACTTATTTAAAAAAAATTGAAGTCAAAATATTTATACGAAGGTCAACCTATTTTTACCTTTTAAAATACTATTATACTATGAATCAAAAGTTATTTATACTCCATCTGAAAAAAAAAAAAAATTGTGCAATATTTTAAAAACTTCTCAATGAATGAATGTAATGAAGCCGTTTGTCCACTTTGAATAAAATGTCCTCTAAAGTATTATTTTTAGCCTGCATAGCGACAAAGTTTTAAACGAGTCTCAGAAAACAGAAAATTTACACAGAAATGTGAAATATGTGATCAGTGAACATGTCTGTGCAAGTGGTGATGTGCAACTCATACCATCCAAGCATCATTTTAGTCACATAGCATCTTTAATACCACCATTATAATAATTAGGATATCAAAAGTATCGAGTATACATACATAATTTGCATTGCGGTACACAAATCTGAGTGGATTTATGTTTTCATATCTTTCATTCGTTGTTCTCAGGATAGACTTTTATTGTCTTGACATTGTGCTGATACATTAAATTGTCCTGAACAACTCAACGCTATTTCAGGAAGGAGAACATTTAGTTGGACATGTACTGTTAAGCAATATAAAAAGCTTTTTTTATATTTCCAAATGTAACTTGAATCCTATAGTCTACTACTTTCGAATACCAATATTCAAGAATCTTGATATAAGCCAAACTAGAGTCCATGTCACCAAAATCAAAGTACTTTAGGTAGGTTTCTGCACCCACATCTGTCTTGATATTCTGTTCTTGTCTTTTTTGCAGGTAAGTTCTTGATGCTGTAGGAACAGTCTCTTGAAGCCATGCCTGTTTTTATAACAGTCCCAGTGAATGGATCCTCAGGAGTCTGAAGATGTGTGTGTGTGTTCGTGTGTTTATGTATTTGTCGGAAAGCGTGGAAAGGTGAAAACCGTTGAAAAACGCCTCACGTCGGCTGTGCCGCCTTCACCGTCTCGGTCTGCGCTGCATGTCAGACGCTGGTGATGGAGGCCAGGCAGTTCGATGATTTCTGGAGTTTCTCGGGCTGGGTGGTGGTAGGCTCTGGGATGGCACGAAAGCTGAAAGGCAGTCCAATACTACCAGTGCCAATGTGGCCGGGGCTCAGCGCCGGATTCTGCCGTCTATTGCTTTCCACAATGCTGGATGTGTTGGATGCAAGGCTTTCACGTGTTCTGTGCAAACAAAGATAAGAAGATGTTAGTTTGAAAATTCACTGTAACGTTCTGTAAAGGTCACAAAAACAGTTTTCTTGTAATTTTTTATTTATCTTTTATATGCACAATGCTGTTGATTTTGCACTACTCGGGTACAAAAAGTTCTATTGGAGGTGCAGCAGCAGCAGCAGAAGCTACATCACGTTTATTGTTGCCTGTTGCAGCGATACTGCAGCTCTGCTGGAATAATCATGTAATATGAAAATGATAGTGGTGTAAAAAAATTATAAATGAGCATTTGCAGAGACTACTGATAGGCAACACAGTGGTGCAGTGTTTAGTGCAGTAGCCTTACAGTAAGAAGGTTTCAGGTTTGCTTCCCGGACTTTCCGTGTGGAGTTTAATGTTCATGCATGTATGGGCTTTCTCCAAGAAATACATTTTCTTTCCACAGACCAAAAACCTGCATGTTAGGTTAACTGGAAACTCTAAATTGTCTAAATGGAAACTCTAAATGTGTGAGTGACAGAGTGAATGGTTGTCTGTCTTGCTCGTCTCTCTGTGTCCCTGTGATGGACTTGCATCCTGTCCAGGGTGCACTCCACCTCTTGCACAGTGACTGCTGAGGATAGTCGTCAGCTCTGTGACTCTTAACAGAATAGCATGTAAAAAAATGGCTGGCTGGATGGATGGATGAATGTATGGCTGGATGGATGGATGGATAAATGTATGGCTGGATGGATGGATGGATGGATGGCTGGATGGATGAATGTATGGCTGGATGGATGGATAGATGGATGGATGAATGTATGGCTGGCTGGATGAACCACTGATAATCTTTCAAATGTCAAAAATCCACTTAAGTTTCGGCTCCTCTTACTTTTCATCAGTCCAGTCAAAATTAAGGTCTCGTTCAAAGTACCAACCACAGGTAAGATATTATTTGTTCATAACCTTTCCACTGAACCCCATAAAAAATCTGAACTATATTTTTAAACATACATTACACACAAGCTATTTGTATTCCTTATTTTAAATCCAAATATCTGTTACTGTAGATGACAATGAAACTTCCAACAAAAGTTGAATATAACATTAGATTGTATTTATTGCACAGACATTGTTTTTCTTTTATTTCACACTAAGTGTAGACTTTACGAGCAGAGATAAAAATCTGAAGACAATGACTCTATAAGATATAAACTAAGATATAAACTAACGGTGTGACTAAAACGGCAAGAAAGTGTGAAAGTGCAGGCTCTGTACGAAGGATAAAGTGTTTTTGTTTGTTTTAGGAAACATTCATTAGAATAAGTGAATCACAGCTTTTCTAGTTTTGACTTTTGCTTTTTTTTAACATGTCTATAAAAAGATAATGTAACATTTTAAAGTGAAAAACTAAATTAGTTTGAATTAGAATAAAATGTTTTAAAATTACTCAAAGCATCAACTCACAACTAATTCACTTTACATCACAACAGGAAAGGTGGGTGAATATATAATTGCTCTGTGTTCGCATGTTTGTTAGCAAAATATCTAGCAAGGAAAGTTATATGTTGTGTAAATATAACTGTTAAAAACTACGGTGATACCAAATACTTTAAAATGATCACTGATCAGTTACTATTAGATTAGATCAGTAACCACATTATCAATATCACAAAGGACTGCTTGGACTACAGTAAATCACAGCCCATTATATTTAAACAACCGTATATTTATATTTGTACGCAGATAATATATTTGGCCAATCAAACAAAAGCTCACTGGCCCTGATAAACACGTCTAGAAGAGAAAGTAAGGGGTAAATTTAATTTTTAACACAACTGATATTGTCAATATTAAACAATAATCTTACAAATAGCTCTTTTTTTTTTAATTATTGTGCTTTTTTAAAAACACAGAATAGACTTTTTGTAATTTAACGGTTACATTTTTAGGTTTTAAATGCAATCATTGAGAATAAACCATTAAACAAACCTAAACTCACCGTGTTTATGCTATGGAAACACATTTTTATTTACCAGTATGTCGGTCTTTTTTGAGTGTACGTAACACAAATATCGCTTTTATATGATCAAAATGCAACATTTTATGCTGTATAATTTAAAAATGAGTGGCATGGTGGTGCAGTGTATATGATCGGCCTGACAAAAATGTAACAAACGTGAAAAAAATAAAAAAATAAAAATGGCTGATCGAGCAGAGTACAATAGAAGCACAAGGAGGTGTCCCCACAGTGGGAAATCTCACTTACACAACTTGAGTCCCACATAAGAAGTCCATCCATCCATCCATCCATCCATCCATCCATCCATCCATCCATCCATCCATCCATCCATCCATCCATCCATCCATCATGCGAGGGGAGGTTTCCACCACAAGACAAGCGTCACAAACTACCATTCACACTCTCATCCACACCCAGGGACAATTTAGAGCTATCAATTAACCTAACATGTATGTTTTTAGTCTATGGGAGTAAACCAAAGTTTTCCTCCGCACGTGCACGGGGAGTAGATGCTAACTCCACATAGAAAGACCCCAGGTTGGGAAGTGAACCTTCAACCTTGTGGTTAACAGCTCTAACCACTGCACCACTGTGACACATGAAGTGAGTCAATGTCACAGCACCCAAAACAAAGTAAATATATTTTGTTAGCTCTTCAATCATATAGTTGTTTTTTCTTCTTTTTATAGAGGACATAATTTATAATATCTACTCTCAACACTTATAACAATGAATGGCATGTTGTGCACATGGACTTTTTTCCACTTGTACTGTTAGCTCAATGAGATAACCACTCTTATTCATTTGGATGTAAGAAATAAATAGGGTATGGCTTAATTCTGACGTTTAAAATGTACATTTTCAAATACAAATCTTTAACTGGAAGGCAGAGCTTTCGGTTATCAGGCTCCTCTCTTGTGGAATCAACTCTCAGATTCTGTTTGTGAGGCTGAGACTCCGTCTACATTTAAGATTAGACTTGAGTCTTTGCTTTTTGATAAATCCTACAGTTAGGAATGCACAATATTATCGGCATGGTATCGACCGATATTATTGTTAAATACTGGACATCGGCCATTCCATCAAAATAACTCTCCGATATAAAAGACGCTGTTTTTGTATGACAACCCAGTGACAAGGATGTCTGCAGCGGCAGCACAACGTGATGACGTCACGTGCTCCAACCTGATCTGATCACGGCGGAGAGGAAAATTCAAAATGTCGGTGGTGTGAAAGGGTTTCTTTCTGTGAGGATGTCGGATTCTGAAGATTTTTAAAGTACGCTGAGCCTCGCTACATCGTCCCCAGTCGGATATATTTTTCCGACGTAGCCTTACCAGAGTTACAAACAGGTCATTTCCGACATCACTGAGAAGCTAATAGCTGATAGCACTTGGGTGAGTTTTACCACAGACATTTGGACGTCGTGTTAGCCCCGTTAGCATGATTAGTCTTATGGCACAATGAAGAGACAAAAACTTTGATCTTAAAAAAGCTGTCCTTCATGCACAAGAGTGCAGAGGATCCCACACTGCAACTAGGAACCTGGAACAAGCCTCCACAAGTGAGACAGCATCGCAGGTGACTAATGCTAATAAATAACATTTAACACTTTTCATTTAATATAAGTTAAAGTGCTATGCATATCATATGTCTGTAACTGAATATATGTCACCAGCTCTTACAGCTGTTGCACAATTTTTGTAGCAAATAAGCCTAAATAAGAGGGCTAAGTTCTGACAAAGGAAAGTGTATAAACATTGGTATTGGTTATCGACCAAATAAGTTTTAACATATCGAATATGGGCTAAAAATCCAATATCGTGCATCCCTACCTATATTTAGGACTGGCTTGGGTTTTCAAAGTTTTCTTTTAGTTATGCTGCTATAGGCTTATACAGCTAAAGGACAACTTGACCTCATTTCCACACTCTGCTGCTGCCTTTACTTGTTCTACTCTTCACGTATGTATTTGGTAATTATTTTTATCAACACATAATTCTCGTCGTCTTTCTTCCCATACAAAGTACACCTGGACCAGCCATTCTGTGTTTGTTGGTGTCTCTTTCCTGTCCTTTGTGACCCCAGCCAGTTGAGGCAGATGGCTGCCCATCCTGAGCCTGGTCCTGCTGGAAGTTTCTTCCTGTTAAAAGGGAGTGTTTTTCAGTTGCCAGTGTACTGTTCAGAATGGGAGACTGACAAAGTGAAAATTTTACGCAATCTACTGGCTTCCTTGAATATATAACATTTACTAATTGCGCTTTATACCGTTTATGAATGTTTTTGTACAGAGCCCTGAGATGGCTTTTGATGTGAATCTCTATAAATAACCTAAATTTTGAATTTAACTAGTTTATTTCTATACTTTTATCATTTATTTTTTATTCCATAAATACAATCCTTTCATATATCCACTTGATTCTGTTCAGGGTTGTGGATAGCTAGTATCTACTGTATCTCCAATGAGAGGTGGTGTACACCCCGGACACCACTCCAGTACAGGGCCACATAGAAAAACAACAGTACACACAAACGCTCACACCTAGTGTCAACTTAGAATCTCTATGTAACCTAACATTCATGTTTTTAGACTGCGAAGTAACTAAAATACTCAGAGAAAAACAACTCACGGGGAGAACGTGCAAACCAGAGACAGGCCTCACTGAGCCAAAATTTAAATCAGAGACCCCCTTTCTACGAGACAACAATGCTAAATACCATACCCCTGTGTAACTCGTTCAAGATAACAATTTTATTCCAAATTTAAACAAACAAGTAACAACACAAGAAAAAAGGTGTAACATAGGATTCCACAGAGTCCAATCAGCAAAATCATGTATTGTGTATGATTTTTTTTCTTCCATTATCAAACAGTGATTCAAACTGTATTGCTGACAATTATATTTTTTATTGAGGGTGTGGACATACTTTGAAGTACATATTTGCAAATTTTACTGAGAACTTTCCAAAAAAATGTATTGTAAAACTACATGGGTTCTCCACGTTTAGTTAAAGAAAAAGAAACTTAATACTTTGAAAAGGGAAAGCACTTTCAAAAAGTACTGTTATGTGATTGGATGATGCACAGACCTTTAGCCATCTCTTATGGACAAATCAGGTGTATAGCGTCACAAGCAGAACCTGTCAAACTGAGGTACCATGTTTGATCGCTATCACACCTAAACTCTGCCTGTAAACAGTTAGTAAATGGAACTAACTGGTCAAAACATTCCTTATTTGGCCACAGTGGAGAACAGATTTTCTTGTATGTAATAAAATATAAGCATAAAACAAGCGAGTTTCTTCCATCACATTTTAAACTTTCCTTTGGTGTAAGGAGTACTGCTGTTTGGATCTGTTAAAGTTTGGGCACATGCGCAAGTATTAATACCTAGTTTAATGTGCCCAGCTACAACAGCATTAAAAGTGTACTATATCAGTAATTGGTTTTCTATGAAGTGCTGTTCATACCTGGGGGAGTTGAATCCACTGTCCACAGTGACACTACTGCTGTCCATACTGTCCAAACGAGCAGAGTGAGCGGACTTCTGGCTGTTGCTGTTTTCCGTCTCCTTGGGACTGAGTAAGGTCAAATTGGTCTCCAGTTTTCGCTGCAGATCATGCTCCTTCTCTCGTTCCAGAAGCCACTGCATGGTTCCTTCTCCACCACCACTGCTGCCTCCACCATTACCACCCCCTTCACCAAGGTCTTTGTTGTCCTCCGTCGTTGCCAACTCTTTGTGCGAGTCCTCCTCTGCCTCTTCCTCCTCCTCATCATCTGATACATTATAATAGTCAAAGGAGGCAGAGGGGACTGTTGGCTCTAAGCAGCTTGTTAAAACTGCAGGTGACGCTGAGGAAGTGGCTGAATTGGAAGGCTGTTGGGGCTCAGGATTGTCTAGGGCCTCTGTTGATTTGGCATGTGAGGCTTTCCGCAATGTGCCAGACTTGGTGTAGCTGCTGTCCACATAGCCAGTGGACAAGGCATTATGTGGGGGTTTGAACAAAGTGTCCTTGCTGAAGATCTCTTTTCTCTTGATCACCATACTACCTCCTCCCCCTCCGGGATCTACATTATGTTGGTGTGGTGTCAAACGGGCATTTTGGGCTGGCTCTGGTGTCTGGCTTGGTGTCAGACGTGCAGAACCGTTCTGTCCCTTTGCTGCTGACAAATCCTCTTTGTACTCCATTGTATGAGAAGAGGTGAGGTGAGGCGTTTGTCGGTCAGCTGGAGAGCCCTTTCGGAGTCCCCCTGATGAGGTTAACGTGTCATATTCTGATTTTGCCTGAGGCGAAGGGGCAGTAAGGATTGTTTCATTTGATGTATTGCACTGGAAGTACTCATCTGTAGAGGGCTTAGGAGAAAGTCCCATTAACTCATTGTATGTCGGTAAGCTATCTCTGCTTTTGTTCCTCTCCATCGTACTCCGGATCCTTGACTCATCCAAAGTCCCTTTCCCCAAATCAGGCACATTAAAATCGGAGTGAAACTTAGCAGCAGAGAACATAATCCTTGAGTAGTGGGAGGATTTCTGCGTGGCCCGCAAGGTGCCATCATCAGTGTAGTAATGATTACGATCCTCCAGACTAGGTTCAAAGTCTTCTGGCGCACCCAGTGATGGACCTTTGAGAGAGTTGTCCATGGAGCGAGATCGTTCTTTAGCTTGATCGGACCTTTCATGACGCGACTTTCTGTCTTGGTTGTGGCTGTGACTTCTTTGCACTCTGGATTGGCATGTTCCTCGCGATGGTTCAGGAAAGGGCATCTCAGTCCGTCTCTTGGCAAGCTCCCCAGACACATCCCACTCGGGGGTAACAGGGCAGTAGGATTCAGTAATATTGGGGTTACTGTGAACCAGGTACGTTGCTCCTCCACTTCGTCTGCGCTCCAAAGTATACATAGCTTCCCGAGGTGAGCGAACTAACGAGTGGCTAAAAAAGCGGTAATCCCTTTCCATGAACACAAGATCCCAGTTTGAACCCTCAGATGGGTCTCCCCTGGATGTCCTTGGTTTACTGTGAGAACGTGACTTGCCATGCGGAGCCCTCCGATGACCTCTGCCCCTCCTGCTACGTGAACTGTGCTGGGCAGAAGACCCTGCCTTGTTTTTCTGTGTACGCTCTTCCTCCAGCCTCTTCATCACAGCTGTGTGCCTTGCAACATTCTCCACTGTTAGATCAGGATTGATCCTGCGAATTATTTCCATCTCCACCTCTCGGGGAATGGGCGTGGTTGGCACATCCTCATCACGTAGGGGCCACTCCTCAGGGGGAAACTGGGCTGAGAAGGTAGCCAACTGTCTCATTTTATCCTTTTTGAAACTCAGTCTGAAAAGTCTGAGCCCAAACCTTTTAGATTGCTTCTCGCCAGTTCCTCCACCACTGCCACTGCCGCCACTTCCTTCTTTCTTTTTGGTCAGAGTGTCAGTTTTATAAGGGAAAGAAGTGACGTTTTTGCTCTTATCAGTTTGATCTTGAGTTGGCGATTGCTGGATAGGAGGGGAAGAAGGACCAGGGGGACGAGGGTATGATGGTGGCTCTCCACGGTGTTCCTTGGCTGACGTGCTTGGTAGAGGCTCCCCACCATTTTGATCCTTGGGTTGCTTATTTTGATAAGAATCTCCCTTGTGCTCCTTAGGTGACTTACTTTGGAGCGCAGAGGCATGCAGTCTGTCCTCGCGATAGGAATTATATGAATCGTGATTCTTGCGAGGAGGCCTCTCTCTCAGGCAGCCAGGTGTTGATGGTGCGACATTGCCAGACTGAGGTGAGGTGCAGTTTTGAGGTTGCTGCTGCTGTTGCTGACGTTCTGGCAGCCGGTCCTCTAGGTGATACCACTTGTTGTTTGCTCTGATGAGAGAAGGAGTAATAAAGTACGTCTGGGGAGTGACAATGTAGTAGCCCTCTGGAGTTGGGTATATCTTCCTCTCTCGCACCAGCATATTCAGGGTGTGTCGCAGAACCTCTGAGCTGGGAGTAGGCACACCTGCATAAAACATGTTGCACACAATTTTATAGGTTTAGTTTTACAAAATGATTTGAAAATGAAATTGTTCAAGTAAAGATATAAGTAAAAATTCTAGTGCACCCTTCAAACTATTTAAAACAAGAGATTATCCAATCACCCAGCTGTTATCCATTCACTGACCTATGAATCCATCCATTCATCCATCTATTCACAAAACTATTTTTTCATCCACTTATGAATCTATCCATAATCTGGAGGAGTGTTAAATTTAATTAATTAATCAATCAATCAAAAAAATACATTTTGGTTCTAATTTTGTAGTGACAATTTGACAATGTGAAACTTCTAGTGCTAAATTATACTAATGGTATTATTACCTTAAAATATATTAAAAAACATCAATAAATCTCTAAAACTTCCAAGAATTGAATAAATATAAAAATGTTATCATACCTGTACAAAAATAAATAAAGGTTGTCTAACAGATGATGCATTTAAAATGATATATTTTTTAAGTAAGCTTAACTAAAAATGACCAATGACAAAATTACATAAATAAAACTTACACAATTAAAAGACAAATAAATATTCTTATTTATTTATCGTGAAAAATTGCCCTGGATTTCAAGTCAAAGGGCAAATATATGACAAACTTTGATCTCACTATCTGGTGTGATTCTTTGTGCATTAATAACTGCAATGAACATTTGTAGAAATAGCACATCCTTTCTGCTCATATGACTGGAGAAAACATTGCTCATTCCTTTGACGAGAGCAGTTTCCACTATGAAGTGTTGAAGGGTTTCCTCACATTAACATCTCATGTTATATCTTATCACATTCCTACAGCCCAACAAAGTTAAGTCAGGTTCTCTGGACGGTTTCTTTTTGTTGAAAAGTTTCGTCTTTCATCCAAAGGACTTCATCAGTCTGAGGAGCCACAACAAACTCAGTCTTAGAAGCACCTTCACATACTGGTTGAACAGTGAAGGTGCTTTTAAGACTGAGTTTGTTGTGGCTCCTCGGACTGATGAAGTCCTTTGGATGATAGACGAAACGTTTCAACAAAAAGAAACCGTCCAGAGGACCTGACTTAACTTTGTTAGATTTTTTTAACTGAATTATTGAGCATGAACTTTCACACATTTCTACAGATTTCAATATTTTTACTTAGTCATTCTAAAATGTAAGCTAAATTTGTCTTTAAATTATTTTGTTAGTACAACCTGTATGGCTAGAATCATTGTCTTGCTACGGTCCAACGTTTTCTGACAGTTTAGTTCAGACACGCTCTCTCTTTGTGTCTTTTCTTTCAGCTGCTCACTTCTTCAGGGTTCACCATGATAAGCAAATACGCACAAAGATTTAGCAATTGTTTTAAAGCCGGATGTCCTTCCTTGATGCAACCACAGACACGGAGTTACCACAGCCCATGTGTGTAGAGCAGAGAGCTGACATCTAAGGGGAGAAGATGGGGGTTAAAGGCCTTGCTTTGACAAATGACGGAGGCAGGTGTGGGTGCTTCACCTCTCCCAATCACATTTTGATGATATGGTCAAGGGGATTTTAATAGGCGATCACAGGCTCACATTATCTAACCTCTGCAACACAATCTGAAAATGTATTTTTCAGTTTGTTGATGTAGCTTTTAATTTATTGTTGCAATGATTCCCACCAACCTTTCTATACACAACATGACAAGCCTAAATTTTATCCTTCCATCATGTTTTACAGCTAAAATAGTCGTTTCAGAAAATACTAAAATATAGGTTTTTCCTCTTTATAATGTAACAGTTTCTCAGTAATTCAAACTGATTTTTTTGTCTTCTTCTCAATTAGATATTTTGAGAGCCTTATCATGTCCACATGATCTTTAGCTAACTCGGTTTTGGAAAGAAAGAGATCAGGTTGGATGTGATGAAGAGGGGAAATCTACATTTTGGAAGGATCTGAATGATGTGATAGAGAGTATTCCCAGGGAGGAGAGTGGTGATCAAAGCAGACCTGAATGGACATGTTGGAAAAGAAAACAGAGAGGATTAAGAAGTGTTGAGTAGGTTTGGTGTCAAGGAAAGAAACCAGGAAAGACAGATGGTGGATTTGGCTTAAATAATGAAAATGGCTGTAGTCAACACTTGTTTCTAAATGAGGGAGGAACATAGAATGACCTATAAGAGTGGAGGCAGGAGTATGCAGGTAGACTATATCTGTGTAGAAGATGAAACATGAGGGAGACAGGAGACTGTACGGTTGTGGCAGGGGAGAGTGTGGCAAGACAGCACTGGATGGTTGTGTGTACCGTGATGGGAAGATGGAAGGAGTACTTTGAGGAGCTAATGAATGAAGAGGATGAATGCGGAGAAGAGTAAAGATCATAGAAACTGTGGACCAGGAAATGGGAAAGAATAGTGAGGGTGAAGTTCGGGAAACTCTGAAAAGGATGAAGGAGGGGAAGGCAGTTGGACCTGATGACATACAAGTGGAGGTTTGGAAATGTCTTGAAGGGATGGCAGTGAGTTTTTTGAATCAAATATTCAATGGTATATTTGAGGGTAAGAAAATGGCTGAGGGACATCAGAGGAGTGTGCGGGTGCACAGGGGTAAGAACAAGGGTCATGTACAAAGATGTAGCAACTACAGGGGAATTAAGTTGATGATTCACATAGTGAAGATCAGGGAGAGTTGTGGAAATTAAGACTTAGACAAGAGGTGACTGTGAGCAGAAGTATTGTTTCATGCCGAGAAAGAGCACCACAGATGCCATCTTTGCTTTGAGGATGCTGATGGAGAAGGACAGAGAGGGTAAGAAAGAAATTTATTGTGTCTTTGTGGATTTAGAAAAACCATATGACAGGATGCCGAGGGAGGAGGTGTGGTATTGCATGAGAAAATTTGGAGTGGCAGAGAAGTATGTTAGACTGGTACAGGACATGTATGAGGACAGCAGGACAGTGGTGAGATGTGCTGTAGGAGTGACAGATAGCTTCAAGGTGGAGTTGGGTTTGCATCTAGGATCAGCTCTGAGCCCCTTCTCGTTTGCACTGGTGATGGACCGACTAACAGATGAGGTCAGACAGGAGTCCCCGTGGACTATGATGTTTGCAGATGACATTGTGATCTGTGGTGAGAACAGGGAACAGGTGGAAGAGAACTTGGAGAGGTGGAGGTATGCACTTGAAAGAAGAGAAATGAAAGTCAGCCGTAGTAAGACAGAGTACATGTGTGTGAATGAGAGGGAGGCTGGTGGAACAGTGAGGCTACAAGGAGCAGAGGTCACAAAGGTGCAGGACTTCAAGTACTTGGGTTCAACTGTCCAGGAAAATGGTGAGTGTGGTAAATAGATGGAAGAGAGTCTAGGCAGGATGGAGTGGATGGAGAAAAGTTTCAGCCATTTGACACGAAAGGGTGTCAGCAATGGTCAAAGGAAAAGTTTACAAGACAGTGGTGAGACCAGCTATATTGTATGGTTTGGAGACAGTAGCATTGGCAAAGAGACAGGAGAAAGAACTGGAAGTGACGGAAATGAAGATGTTAAGGTTCTCCTTAGGAGTGACAAGGATGGATAAGATTAGGAATGAGATCATCAGAGGTACTGCAAAGGTTCAACTGGGAGATAAAGTTAGAGGCCAGACTGAGATGGTTTGGACATGTCCAGAGGAGGGACAGTGGGTATATTGGTAGAAGGATGTAGAAATGCAGCTGCCTGGAAAAATACAAAGCGGAAGGCCAAAAAGGGGATATATGGATGCAGTTAGACAGGACATGGTGGAGTGAGGACAGAGGATGCAGAAGACAGAGTGAGATGGAGAAGGAGGACTCGCTGTGGAGACCCCTGAAGACGGAAAAGACAAAAAAGAAGATATACATACACATTATATATATATATATATATATATATATATATATATATATATATACACAGTAGTCCCTCACT